TTATCTTTTTAGGGGTATGTAGTAAAAGGAGACGGTAATTAGCGATTCAGTTAATAAAACTAAGTTATAAGTTTTTTCGTAAAAGTGGAAGACACAGTGTCAAATCAATTTTCAGTTACAAATTTCATTAACACAAATTTATTCACAAATTTTCCAACAGAGTGATGACTGATGAGTAGATATATGGACCATTTAGGTAAGACATGCTCCAGTTTGACAATAAATGGAACTGGGTTTCACTTTGCTCAAGATCTCTTGAAAACTAAGCTTAAATCTACTATCCACATCGTAACCAAAGGTAGCTTCCCATTTTTAATCATGCTGGTTCATATACACCCAAGCTGCATCTGGAGAAGTGAATGGTTCTTGCTTTAATGGATCAGCCTGTTACCAAGAAATTTTTCTTTGTTCCTCATGTCTGTGTGTAAATATTAATAAATCCTTGTATTACTAAGTCATGCTCGAAGCGCTCCATATCACAAATTTAACTAACAATCATTGTTAAACTCGATTTTGGGCACAAGCGAAGTTAATAAAGCCAAGCCAGCATGCACATCATCAACGCTCTCCCAAGGCAGTCGTCGAAAAAGCCTAAGACAGATGTTAATGAGAAAATACTTGACGCCATTCCCGCACGTGCAAAATGGATGCCAATCTCAATTGATAGATTTGCAAGCATTCCATTTTTGGAATTTGAGTTAGTTTCAGTGTAAGCTAATCTACAACAACAACAACACAATGCCCACCATCTTCTTCATCCAGATTTCATATGCTCCCCAACCACACTCAACACAAAATAAATCCGTCGCGACTCAGGATTCCCCTGATGGTGCGCGACAAACCCATGGAGCCTCCCCAAACACTCCACATAGCTACACCCAGCTAGTTTCCTCACCCCTCTCGACTCCATTACGCGCCTCGTGCTTTCCGCCTCCTCCCAACGCCTCCCGACCGCATAAACATTCGAAAGCCCAATGTATCTCCCATCATGGCCCGCGTCCATCTCCACCAGCCTCCTCCCCACCACCTCCGCTAGCTCGAAATTCCCATGGCTCATGCACCCGTTGAACAACGCTCCCAACACAGAAGCCGTGGCCTCCACCGCCATCTCCTCCACAAATGCGTACGCCTCGCCCAGTCGGCCTGCCCGAGCAAGCACGTCCACCATGCACGCGTAGTGCTCGCTGCTCGGGACCATGCCGTCCTTGCCGATGGCATCGAAATACTCCTCGGCCTCCCTCACGAGGCCCCCGTGGGCGCAAGCGGTGAGCAAACACAAGTACGTGATCTCGTCTCCTCTCATCCCCAAACTCTTCATCTCGCCGTACATTTCGAGCGCTTTTTTAGTAAACCCGTGGGCTGCCAGCCCTCCAATCACGGCGTTCCACATGAGAAGGTCGGTTTTTTCTGCCGCGACTTCGCGGAAGACTGCCAGTGCCTCGTCCACTGCCCCACACTTTGCGTACATGTCCACGAGGGACGTTCGAAGGATGAGAGTGAGAGGCAAACGCTTGTCGATTATGTAACGGTGCATGGCCCTGCCTTGCTCGGAGGCACCCAGGTGGGAGCACGCGCGGAGGGCGCTCACCATGGTCACCTCATTCGCGTCCGGGCCCTCGTCTGCCATTTTCTCGAATAACTCCAGTGCCTTAGCGTGGGCCCCGTTTTTCACGTGCCCGTCGATCAAAGCGCTCCACGACACTACGTTTCTTTCGGGCATTATGTCGAACACCTTTGTCATGGAGGCCACGTCCCCGCATTTGGCGTACCCATCCAAGAGTGAGTTCCAGGAGACGGAGTTTTTCAGGGGCATCTCGTCGAACACCTTGCACGCGCTACGAATTTGGCGGCAGGAGCCGTACATGTGGATCAAGGAGTTGGAAATGAAAACGTCGGGGGAGAAGCCGGTGGACAGGACGCGCGCGTGAAGGCAGCCTCCGAGTTTCGGGTCCGAGAGACGGGCGGAGGCCTTGGCGAGAAAAGGGTAGGTCATGTGGTCGGGGTGAACACCGGTGAGCAACATTTGGGCGAATAGTAGGAGGGATTTGGCGGGGTTTGTGCTGTTGGAGAAGCCCCGTATCAAGGCATTGTAGTGGAACCGTGTCGGATTTGGGAGGTGAAGGAAAAACCGGTGGGCGTACCTAATATCAACAGTTGCGGCAAAGGAGAGGATTTTCCCGGCATACGGGTCGGTCCGGGAGAGGCCGGAGGTCGTTAGCAGGCCGTGGATTTCGTTCAGATGTGATAATGACCAAATTTTGAGACCGGAAATGGAATTGAGAGTTTCCGTTAATTGGTAGATAGTTGTCGACATGACTAAGTTGAAATTAAGAATGACTTTTCAATTTCAACTTGTAAAAAATTTTCAAAACTTTCTAAAAGGGCAATATGTCGGTCCTCATGTGTCTAACGAAATTTGTGGGTTGTTTTAAAATCATAAGTTAAATAATTGTATTATATTTTAAATATATACTTATAAGTTAGATAGTGATATTATGTTTTAAGATTTGATTATTGGTTAAAATAAATAGTATATAACGATTTGATTACATATTAATTACTATATTGATTGCATAAAAAGTAATAAATAATATAATATTTGTATTTTTTAAGGATCGTGAACCATTAATTAGCTGAAAAATATAAAATTATTTTATTATGATATTAAAATAAATTAATTTATTTAAAAACCAATCGTTTAATCAAAATATAATATTGATATATATATATATGTAAAGGTTTGATTATTTTTAAAATAGTAATTGTTTATCGCAAAAAAAACCCTAACTACTAATTCTGGAAATATATTACCCTTAATTTCTACTCCCTCCTGTTCTAAATAATTGTCGTTTTGGCTTTGGTGAGTATCAAGCAAATAATTCTCGTTTTAGAACTTTTAATCTTACTTTTCCAGTTCTACCCCATCCAACTACTACATTTTGTCTCTTCATATTCAGGCTTCACCTTTCCCCAAAACTCCATCTCTTTCCCATGGCACTCTGTATTTTTTTAACTCACTTTATTTCTTTACAAATCCATCTTCCACAATTTGCGTCTGCCTTTTTTAATACAATTTTTTCTAGTCCTGTTGATTCTTATTCCATTGTTCTCTCCTTTATTCTTTTCTCCTTCGATTAATGGATTCGAAAGGTCATGAAGCTTCAAAATTATATCCGGAAACCCACTTCGCTAAATATGTTCAATCTCACCAGCCTCTTATGGATGAAGTTCTTCAACTATTGGAGAAGACAAAAGCAAGTTTAGATGTTGCTCATTCATTCGCTTTGCAAATTAGTGATTCGGCAGAGTCATTTAAGGTGTATGTATCCGATTCGGATGTTGAAGACGATAAATATTCTACTAGAGATTCCTCTTTGCTTTCTCAATTTTTACTTGTTTCAATTGATTTATTTGGTTTTTGAAAAAGATGCTAATCCTAGCTTGTTTAATTAAGCAGTTTATTATCTCTTCAGCAATTTTTCTTAAAATATTTAGTTTTCTTAACTAGTCATCATTCATTATGTAATTAATGGTAGATTAACTTAATTATTTGAGAATTTTTTTGCACATACTATGTCATTGACAATAAATTACTGGCCAAAAGTGACGAGGAACCATAATGGAATACCTTGTGTTTTTTCGATCATTTTGCTTTGTTTATTTCTCTTCCTTGATAGCCTTTTTGAATTATTTTCAAAGTCATAACATTGTTATTCTATTGATGATAGATTTGTTTTGTTGTATGTGGTTATTGACTTAGTGACGGCGCAACCAGAAGTTCAAACTAAGGTTAATGCAGTTGGAACTAGTTTTTCAAAATTTAAAAGTGCAACAAAGGTTGATGAGAAGCTTGTTGTTGGGGAAGCAATATCTAACCCGAATGATGAAGTTGTGCACGAGATGCTAAAGATTTTTGTGCCACAGTTGTTTACTGAAAAGTAAATTAATATGAAGGGTACGGTCATAATTCGTTTTACAGACTATTTTATCGAGCCATCTTGTGTTGATTGAGAAGTGGTTTGGTTTTATGTTTCCCAATGGTGAATTGTGATCTATGATCTTATCATCATTTGACGTGAATGATCTTCAATGAGATATTTTTTAAATGTTTAAGCTCATTGTATTGCTCAATCTAAGTGAATCACTTTGTTGCGATAGTTTGTACTTTGATTTTCTTGTATTAGATTTTTTTTTCGAATCACTAAGTGAATCACTTTGTTGCCCTACACTTTGGAGTTTATGCTTCTTGTTTCACGGTTATTTCCGAGCTCAAAGACAGAGAGAGAGAGAGGGGGTAAGGGAGAGGGAGAGAGAGAGAGAGGGAACGTAAACGTTATTACAGAAGACCGTCCATATTTCGTATTCTTTCAGGCCCTTTTGTGTACCATGATGAAACATAGTCCCCGTAGATCACGTACCGGTATTTAGGTGGCTCGAAAGTTATACCTCCCGCCAACTGCATCCCGTCCACATACGTACGACGGTAAGGGCTCGACTAGCAGCCATGAGCTAATATCCTAAAATAACAAGTTACTTTATTACATTCAGATATTGGCTTGATTGAAGTTTGAGCTTTGAGTGGCTTTTAGATGATGGTTGTTGCTTTCCAATTTCCACCATTTACATTCACAAATAGGCCACTAATTCTACTTTTGTTTCAATTTATAAAATTGCACCGCTAAAAACAGAGGACATTGTATTTGTAAACCATTGGAATAGCTATAGCTGATCCATCTTATAACCCAATTTGGTTTTATTTCTATTGAATAGCTAAAGTTGATCCATTTTTGTTTCCTGATTGAATTATATTTCCATTTTATTTTTTCGGTTCCGGTTAATTTTTTCAAAAACCAGTTCCGGTTCCCGATTCCTTTCCAAATGTTTGTGTATTAACCGATGAACCGACTATATATATGAAATATGCATGTTTTATATGTGTATATATATGAATCGGTTCCGGTTCTTGTTATGTAGTACTCGGTTCCTCATTTTTGCATTTCGATTCTCAGTTTTTTATGACACTTTTAGTTCATGAGTTGCAATTTTTTGACCGGTTCTTAAGTCAAAACTGGTTATTTTCGGTTATTTTCATTATTCGGTTACCCTAAGAATCGGAAAAACCGAACCGTTATAACTCGGTTCAGTTCTTTTTCGGTTCCTGCGGATATTTAGGTGTTAACCAAACCGGTTTTTTTATTTCGGTTCCAGTTCCGGTTCTTGAAAATTATGTTAAGAACCGGACCTGTCCCAGGCTTAAAGAAGTTTAACTGAGTAGCTTGTGAGTGTTGCAATCTGGGCTCAATTCCTCTTGACAGTGGCCGGGAAAAATAAGTGGCTGGGAACTGCAGTGCAGATATACAGTTCATAAAAGAAAGCAAGTGCCCCATATTCTAAAGGCATGGTATTGAAGTATATCGAGTAGCATGGACAACCAAGACAGCAGAATTTTAGATTTCTGTTATCCGTTTATTTCTTGCAGACTTGCAGAAAGAAGTAGTCAATATTCCCAGTGATTACTAGTGAGTTGTAGTTCAACACTATCCGCTTCAATTATGCAGACATGGAATAAACAAGAATGATTTTTTCGGCTTAAATTAAATTCAATACATGGCCTTTATTTCTGCGATGCTATAACTCAATGCATTACCTTTTCAAAAAAACACACATCCCTAATTATTTGATTAAATACTCTACTTAATTATCTTTTTTTTTCTCTCTTTTTTTTTTGGTAGGGGCAATGATTGGATTCTGGCTACAGGGACTTTCAAAATTGAATCTTGAATCATTACCATGATGCCATATACATACAGAGTAACTGCAGCAGCAAGCCGGTATGGATATAACATTAAGACGCATCAGTGGATTTAACAAACTAGTATGGATATACTGTGAGCTCTGCAGCTGATGGCCGAGTACTCGAACGAGTCCAAAATCCTTGCCATTCGGCACTCGGCCCCATTTAGGATGACAGTTAACATTCCCAAGATCAACACGAGTGGGTGTATATTTGGCCTCATCATCTATGAGGAATTTTAAATGGAAAAGACAAAATCAATTTGCAAAAAGGAGTTATCTTTTTTTTTTCACCTTAGCAACATGCAACAACATCAAATTCACAGAAAAATAAATTGCTAGTTCATACGGGGGCAATGTATAGGGGGGTGTGTGTTTGTATGTTTAGTATTTTCATATGCCCACATATGAGATGACTGAAGGTGATGAGAAAAATGGTGGTTAGTTGTACAATGTACAATGTAGCCCGATGTATAGCGCTCTTGTACTCTGCCGATTTGTTATGATCTCAGTTTGTCGGCTAAAATCACAAAGATAGTTCACTTAACGGATTCACAGTAATCCACTCTTCACTCTCCATCAATAATCCTATATGCACACAAAAAAATAGTTATATCTAATCATTCGTTAACAACCGGTCATTCTCATTTACAAGTAGTCCATTAACTAAAATCTGCACATATCATTTATTTGGGTCTGAAGTGATTTGGGAAATGAACAAACAAAACATGCAGCCTTATTTCAATATAAAAATTAGGCTTGAAACTGAAGAACAACCGACTCACACAGCATTTGCATTCGCATGATAATAATCCAAAAACGAAACACAAGCACCATTCATTAGCTTAAATGACAACACAAAGTAAGAAAAAAAAAGGCAAAATCTAGAAACTTCAGCATAAACCATAATTGGTGAACTTTACCACAAACCACAAAACTTAGAAAAAAAGAAAAAAAACAAAAGTTGGAAACTTCAACATAAAACACAGGAACTGAAACTGAATGCCACTCATTATCACTTGAATAGGTATAAGCTAACTAACCGCTCAATAAAGCACTCTCCAGACATGACTAAAGTTCTTCCGATCCATCTCCAATCGAACCGTTCCCTAAAACCAAATGACAACATTATCAATAATAGTGAATATATGAAGAGGAGAAGCAAATGTCAACATTGACTTACCTAGTCGTGTTGCTAACAAACCTTTAGTAGCTTGCACTAAGGTAGACTCGCATGAAATTTGTGTAGGAAGTTGACCTAGTCTTTGAAGCCGTTTTTTGTTTATGTGAGGGATTTTATATCGATTTTCTCCTCCTAATTTCATGATTTCTTTCATGCATAATTGTAACGTCAACCACACCTAATTGAGCTTGATGGGTGAATAGTCAGAGAATGCCTTCTCTACCGCACTTACAAGCTCAGGGATATTCTTTGCGCACATTTTTTGTTGTAGTGACTGTATGGCCCTATAATACCCAAGTCGAGTATATTCAAATCCAGAGAATTAGGAGGTTGGCAAGTTAATCGAATGTCGAAGACATTTTGTGAAGCTGCTGCTACAAAATCAGGATCGTTAGGAGGAACGTGTGTCCTAGCATTGTCTTGTTGGACATAAATGGTTTTACCATAATCGGAGATAGGCCATTTCTCCATAATAGTTGTGTAACGCCCCGTTTTATTTTAAAGAATTTACCGAGTTTATTTATAAAAATCAGAGTTAATTTTTCGCAAATCTCAATTTTAAAACTTTAATATTTAACGGGCGCTACTTACCTATCGACAACAAATAAACAATTACGAATTAATAAATAGAACATATACATGCATAACTATCAGTTCTAAAAATAAACCACATTATTCATAAGTCACAAAACCAACCAGATAGTTCAACATGATTCAACGGTTCATTCAACATGTTCATAAAATCAAAGCGGAAGCATAATCATCCAAAATAAAAATAGGTGGTTCAACAAGATAATAAAAGCGGAAGCAAAGACACATTAATCCAACGACCACCACTCGATCGTCTCTCGCTGCCGCCGCCAACCATGCTCAACCTAAAGATAGGAAGAGGAACAAGAGGACAGAAAAATAATGGGGGTGAATATCACCATCATACTTACCATTACCGCAAAGTATATCTCGCATAAAGATTCATAACTATAAATAATGTATACATAGAATCCAGATCTAACTCCCTATTAGGCCCTATCGCAAACCTCCTATGTACATACAACAAACCTTCCGACCAAACATCGGCAAGGATGTAACCGGAAACATTCCCACCCCGGATGCAACGGGCATAGGATCTTATCCAGGAGACAGTGGAGCTGTTTTTCCCCCTTCCGGATACAACGGCATGGGGCGTCCCTCCCGGATGCAATGGGCAGGCGACCTCTTACTGATTATGCATTCGTTAAAGGCACTATCAATGGGACACTTAGACTAGGGTTCTCATGCATACAGAAGCTATCGAGACAAACATTTATACGAAATAACAAATGCGATAATTATAGATTCAACATAAATGAACCCACCTGGTAAAATCGAGATAAAACATACAATGAGGGTAGGCAGCGAGCTCAACTCGTCAAGCACCTACATTTAATAAAATAGCCCTATAAATGACTATTCAACAATCACTTAGTCCAACTAAGCTCACGAAAGCATTTAAGCACGCATTAAATCAAAGAAATCACGTTTCCGAAAATATCACATAAGTATTTGAAAACTTAACCCGGGCAGCGTTTTTAAAACCGACATAATTCTCAGCACACAACTCATATGAACATGGTTCAAGTTTCATTGTAATCCTAAGATATACATCTACAATTCTTATGAAGACACCGAAAGCAAAGAAGGCCATTTTGTAATAGCTCAATTCTGTATTAATAAAAATGATAGTTTTTAGTTCCAAGTTGAACTATTTCTTTTTATTAATACTGCTCGTCCTGAGTTCCGAGCCTAGTTATCAGCTATTCAATCCCAGTTATTAATTCCGGTCCATTTATTTTTAGCAATGGATTTTATTCAGTCGGAATTAATTATTTCAGTTGACGAATAATCGAAACCGAGTATGTTGCGATAAATCGTCTAAGTCTAGTTCGCGCCTTGCCTATTCTCGAACCCTAGTAGTCTCGAGTCTTGTTCGAGCCCTAGCCGTGCTCATAGCCTTACGTAGAATATTTTTCTAAGTATGAGTCGATCATTTTATCGAGCCTCGGTCAAGCCACTCGGTCGAAAGGAACCACGCACCGAGCTCGTGCCATGGTTCGAATCCCCGTGCCCTTAGGCCGCGCGCCTCACCGAGTGCAAGTGCTCAAGTCATGGTTAAGGGAATTTTGCTAAGTAATTTGGTTACTTTTTGAGCCACAAGTTTAGCCCTAGCCAAGTATCCTACTCGGTCCAAGTGATGCCGAGCCCAAGCCATAAGGGCCGCGCCCTAGCCGCGCGAGGGTGGCTAATACCGTGCTATATAGAGCTCGAGTCATGGCCAAACACTTATGGGATTTTTCTAACTGTTGAGAGCTTTAATTCAGCACTTAAGCTCGGCCCAAGATCATCCCGCGCACAACAGCAAGCCCAGCTCGTCGCCCCGGGCCAGCCCAGCAATGCCGCGCCCGTGTCCCTCGCGCCAGGCCCAGCGGCAGCATGGTAGTCCATCTTCTCGAGCCCATTGTGGAGTTTTTCGGCCCAACTTCATGCGTGTATTAAGGGGTTGATTAGGGATCTATTCAGCTAATATTGCCCTAAGCAAGTTTTAATAATGGTCATCTATCATTAAGCCATAGTAGAGCATGTGCAAGCTAATATTATAATGTTTGTGGGTTTGGATTTGTCCCCCACTCACCTCCAGCCGACCAGAATCCTTTTCCACCCAACATGGACTGCCAAAACCACCAGGATTCCCCTCCAAGACCGTGCCAAACCAGTCCCAAGGTGAGATCCTTCATGCCTTGCACGTGAGTTGAGGGAGTGAGCATTTTGTGTCCCTCACTTGGAGCCTAGTTATATCCGCCCATCTCCACCTATTTAAGACCACCATTAACTGATTGTTGAAGCTCTTGGTCATTGGAGAAGTCTCAACACTTAAGAATTTTGAGGGCAAAAACCGAGAGCAAGTGCCGACCCCTTAGCGCGCGCGGGTAGACCAGAGTAGAGGGAGAGCTCGTGTTCAGCTTGGTCCAGCAGGATTCTCTCGAGCCTTATGATCATCCAAGTATTTATTGGATTTTTATAAGTCTCCAAAGTTCATCCCTTCAGCCATATAAGCTCCAAGTCGAGACCAAGGACCAAGGCCGCGAGTGAAGCCCGAGCTAAGGCCACTAGCACCATTGCGTGTTCGAGCAAGGTTAGCTCGTGTTTATCATTTTTCCCATCTTATTCATGATAAAATAAGAATTATCATGTTGAAAAATGATGCCATGCATGTTCATATGATGGAGTTCCGAAATTTGTGAACATTTGAGCCCTAATTTCGTAAGTTCTTGTACATGCATGATATGGCCGAGTTTGATAGCTTAAAAATCCTCAAAAATCATGAGTATGACATGGTTAAAAGATTAGCATGCTTTAAGTTCACATGTTTGGTCAATTTGTTAAGTGAAATCGAGCCATTTTCTCCTCCGAACCTAAGTATATGTGCATGCATGTATTGACCAATGTTCTAGCATCATTAGCCATGGTTTTTGATGCTTAGTATTCGGATTTAAGTGTTTTGATAAGTTGAGCATGTTAGTTCGGTGACCTAGGGTCTAAAGGTGCCATATAGGCCCTACCGGACCGAGCCCTTATCCACCCAAGTTGCCCTAGCATTTCTTGGCATTTTTACATGTTAATTATCATGTTGAGTTGATTTGGGTTGGTAGTCACCGGAAAAGTTTCTGGAAGTTCGGCAAAGGACCGTCTAGGGTCACCAGCTGCGCCAGTCGCGCGTGCCATACCCGTGCCGCGTCACAGGGGCCAAGCAGTGCCTCTGTCAGTGCCCGCGCCTAGTGCTCGCGAGATACCGCAGTCCCAGCGCACGAGACAGCGCCCAGCAGCGCCTGTCCGTGCCAGCCAGCGAGGTCTCAGCGCCAGTCGCGCCAGAGCACCTCCGACAGCGCCCAGTAGCGTTGTCCCAGCGTCACACGTGACCTCGAGCCAGTCGCTCGTGTCACGCGGAGTCGATCTCGGGTCGTGCCA